GTGTCGTATTCGGTGGATGTCCACCGGAACTCGGGCTTCGGGAGGAGTTTGTAAAGAAACCCATCTCTAGCTGCTTCTCCATTCTCGCCCTCATCGTCCTCCCCGCTGTTAAGCCGGGTTGAGGGTCTTAGCTTTGCCCTCAGGAGTTACTGCACATGATTTCTGATCTTAACTTTATTGGTTATGCCTATATCCATATCAATATATACACTCATATATATATACATATTCTCACACATATGTATGTACACATACATGCATATACATATACCTACGCATGTACATGTATACATGTACATGCACATACATACATGTGCATATCCTTATACATACATATGTATCTTATGTTCTAGGAAGTGCTATATACGTTATATATTAGAGAAGAGAGGAAGTATCTCTTAGTAGGTTTAGTTTAGTTCTAGTTGATATAATCAGTCAGAGTATAACGGGGGAGGGGGCTCTCCCTTGGCTCGCAATAAACTACGGGGCCACCATCTGTGTTCATTTTCGGTCTCTTCGTGAGCCTCCAAGATTCCTGCGTAGTTTTCCAGCTACATTTTCCAGAAATTTGTCGATGTGGGTTTTGATTTTCCAGGCCTTCTCAAACTGGTTAATAATACCAATTGCTCAATTGGCTGTTTATAAAGTTATCTGTAGGTATTTGTAATTTGTGTGATCCCATCTGCATACATACTGTAGTTGCTACGTATTTGAGGTGCCGGTATGGATGTTTTGTTAGCGAGCGAGTGTTCCCCGGTGGTACCCCACGCTGGATCAGGAATTCATTGCCAACTATTGTGTTCAGTTTTAATCTTCCTTTTCTGTCATCGAGAAAATTGCTCACAAGTCTTGCTATTGGTGTGGGAAGATTGAGTTGTAGAAGCTGATATTTTAGCTCCTGGGTACCGGACTTTGTCGAATGCTTTAGCAACATTTCACAGGATGATGTTGACTTTGTTCTTGTTTGCCTGTTTGGTGTCTTATAAGTTTTTGGTATTAAGATTATTACTACCGTCTTGAACTTCACTGGGAAATGGCCAGATGCTAGCGAGGTACTGTAAATTAGGTCTAGTCTCCGAATCATTGCTGGTGGAAGATTCAAGATTTTTTTTTTTTTTCTTTGCTTTGGCCCGGTGATTGTTTTCATTCCTTTTATGGTATTTGTTATCTCCTCAGTGGTGATGCGACTGATAAGCTCACGTTTTATTGACAGATTGTTGAGATTTACTTCTGGGTCGGTGGGGAAAATGTCTTGCAGACCCACCCTCTCTTTTTTTCGGTCGAAGCTCGGGTTTTTTGCCAGTATCTTCGGTGTATGGCCTCTTTATCTATATCTTGGAATTGTTGTTGCCAAAGTGATCCAACACATATGGGCTATGTTGGGTATCATTTCCCATGAGATTCTTCAGTTATCTCCAAAATTTCTTAGCGTCCCTTACTTTTGATGCAAGTTTCTGGGTTATGCTTATTTGTTGTTTGCCGTTGTCTTGTCGGAATTCTTCCTCAAAATCATCCAGAATTTTGTGTTGTAGTCCCTTCTTTATGGCTAGAGCAACCCTGTCTGCTATTTTTCTTTGGTAGGTGTTCTACTGAAAGATTTTTATTGTGTCTTGGTCTTTTTGTCCATGGATATTGATTAGGACTGGCTTGTGTTATGCGAAGGGAGGTCATTTTGATGTTTTATTTGTGGAAGTTGGCATTTCGCAGTATTTGTTTCTGGTTCCCGCGACCGTGAGATGACTCGCTCGTCGTGCGCGCGCTCATCAGCAAGGCGCAATTATTTATATGTAATTCTGCTCCCATATATAGGGGCAGGTTCATATGAAAGTGTTGAATGACCCTTTTTAGGCTGATTCACACTGCTCCACATCTGCGTTTCATCACATCATGTCACCGTTCTGTTAGCCGTGCCATGTATTCACACTGGTCATCACGTCTTTAATGACATCTCCCCTATACTCACCCTTGACTTCCCACGGTTGACACCCAGCCTGTGCTGATTTTGCCCTGCGCCCAGAACGGAACGACATTGACGATGTGCCCCCACAGCAAGCGATTCCGATCCTTACCGCCGATCCCTTTATAAACTACACGTAAGCTTATATCTTGATTATACTCAAAATGTTTGTTAGAAAATCCTTATCCTGAATCATTATGTTCGTAATCATTATTATTGATGAGACTGTAGTTATCATATGTTCACAATTCAATTGTACTGACATATCCAGTGTCTCTGTCCAAACAAGTGATCACAAGAACCTATGACTGTCATAAAAGAGTCTGTACTGAAACACCTACTAAAGATTTATGTTTTCCATTTTCTTATGTTTTGTAAAAAGGTCAAACTATTTCGTACAAAAACGACCTGTGATCACCTCAGAAACTCAGAGCCGAAGTTCTCTGCCCTCAGCATCGGTCCGGGCAACATCTCAAGCTCAAACAGACCGCTCGGCCTCGCGGGCATGGCACGACGCTCCTGCCTGTACGTCTCTGCAGGCCTGTCCTCTGTACTCTAGCTACCACACTCCCGTGCTAATAAAGTGAGGAAACTTCGACAACTTTAACTCTACACCTCAAGACCAAACAAGCAGTACAATCCAAGTGGGGACGCTTTTTCCCCACTTTTACACTGACAGCAGCAAGTGGGAATAGCCTCCCCCCCTGTCATTACATTGGTGTCAGCACAATGGGGGCGGTCATTATACATCATTACATTTAGAGGATGCGAACTGGGATAACGTCCTCCACATTACAGCAATGTGTCATCAGTGATCTGTAACATTTTAAAGGAAGGGAATGCCTTGATTTAAAGACTTATCCTACAGAATATGAGAAGTATTATGTGATTCATAATACTTACAAATACAAAGGAAAGCTTTTATTCAAAGAGCTATATCATTTAATATAAAAAAAATATAAATGTTGAGTTTCTTATCTGGTTTTAGTTCTCTATTCCATAGTTTGTCTTTGAATAAGTTGTCATTATATCTCCTGTTTGACATGTGATATCAGCCATTTCTTGAGGGGGAGGGCAAGGCTGGCGAGCGAAGTGAGCACAGTCATTCAGTTTCTAGGATGATGCAAGAAAAAAAAGAGAAATTATCTATTCTAGGGGCATTTTTAAGCTACGCCCAGAGCGATAAAGGTATAATGTAGGGGAAAAAATCTTGAGGAGAGGTTGCAAGCCAGAATTTGAGGGGACATTCAGTCTTGCGTCCCCCAAATGAAGCCCCTGTATGTCGTGTGTGTGTGTGTGTGTGTGTGTGTGTGTGTGTGTGTGTATGTGTGTATGTATATATATATATATATATATATATATATATATATATATATATATATATATATATATATATATACATATATATAAACATACACATATAAATATATGTATAAGAATGGGCTTCAAAAAGTTAGTGGAAAAAGTCCATAAATAAAAATCATATGGAAGGATTTTGATTTCAGTGCACCTGAACATTCTTGTATCATCGTGTTACAACGTGTTCAAACATGAACCCTTAACTGTAGGTAATAATGCCAGTTGGAAGTCAAGCACCATTCAAGTAACATGAAATCCACCAAAATCGAGGCCAGGAAAAACATTAAATTTATGGTGAAACTCGGTTGGGAGAATAGGCACATCATTGATTGTTCTGGAACAAGTTTATGTGACAATGCCCCAAAGAGATCAACAACCTACAAATGGATAAATTGAAGATGAATGAAAACATTGACACTGTTCGTAACATGATTGAGAAGGATAGATAAATAACCACTGAATCAGAAACAGACACATTCAACATTTCTGTGGGTTCTCCACACAGAAATCTGATGTAGAGTTTGGGGCTAAGCAAACTTTCCGCTCGATGGTCCCACGTTGTTGCGCCCAGATCAGCAGCAAACAATGGAAATTTTGAACAAGTGGTATGAGGACTCTGAAGCTTTTCAGCAGAGAATTGTGGCATGGGATGAAACATGGCTCTACCAGTAGGTTCCTGAGGACAAAATTCAATCAAAGCAGTGGCTGCCCAGGGGTGGAAGTGGATCAGTCAAGGCAAAATCTGCGCGTTCAAGAGGAAAGGTCATGGTCACTGTCTTCTGGGATACAGAAGGGATTTTGCTGGTTGACTTCCTCGAGAGCAAGAAAACAATTACATCTGCTTATTTTGAATGCGTTTTGAGAAAGCTATCCAAAACAAATCTCAGAAACACACACACACACACACACACACACACACACACACACACACACACACACACACACACATATATATATATATATATATATATATATATATATATATATAGATAGAGATAGAGATAGAGGGATAGATAGAGAGAGAGAGAGAGAGAGAGATAGGTAGATAGATAGATAGATAGATAGATAGATAGATATAGATATAGATACACACACACACACACATATATATTTATGCCCATACTATTTGTGTGTGTGTGTGTGTGTGCATTTGCTCAGTAAGGAATGTCAAAAATAATGTTTGGGGCTTCATGTTATCTTTACACGTGTGACAGGTAATATATTGAGTTATATAAACGTCTTGTAACAATAACCATTCACTATTCAGCCAGTGATGCACGGCATAAATTCGAAAGAAAATGAGTTGGAAACACTGGGCGCAAAACCCCGTTAAAATGACTCTTGAATGTTTATCGAGGGTATATCACCAACTCAGAATATGTTCATTGCCATTATGAAACCTATGGTTCTCTTTTCTGGAAATATTAATGATTATGGAATAAAACCGACCAGGAAAGTCCTCTCAAGCGAATATATCACATTCCGATACACAGGGACCAACGATAAGACTTTCCGCTTAACTCCAAAAATAGGCATGTTTATATAGGTGTATGTATATAACATATAGGCTCAAATATCATACAATTACCACCAAGTATGTTAATCATTTTAAAAAAATGGCCTATTGAATCACAGAAAAATATCCAAATAAGACGAAGTAGTAACCCCGACCGCTTTGGGGGAACATCTTCCCAATAGCTTCCAAGATAACGAGGTCTTGTCTCCCCCTTATCACTTCCCTCGTGAAAGTCCGAGTTACAGCCATGGCAGACACGGAGCATCCATCGGTCACCAATTTCCGGAATTATGTAAAGATAAAGACTGTACAGCCAACCCCGGATTATGGTACGTTGTGTGATCTATGTTGGTTTTAATTAGGAGAAAGGATGAGTTAATTTTTATTTATTTATTTATTCAAGTCGCTGACCATGGCAAGTGTCATGATGACACGGTATGACTTAATTTTTTACACTTTTAGTCTAGTATTGTACAATGATTGTACATGCAAATTGGCAATGTTAGTAATGGTGGTGTAAACTGAAAAATGTAAGTTACTAAGAAACTTGAAGTTATTTACTTGAGTGAAATAAGTTAATACTAGTAACAGGACCTGTTCCAGTAAATGTACTGGCACTTGTGTCCTACACAGATCTTGAGATAGGTCGGTAGGGCTTGAAAAATGACAATGAATTGAATAGCAAAAGGGAACTGATGAGTAGGGTTATGCATAGAAGAATATCATCATAGCACAGCAGTGCACTTTGATATTTCAGATATTTTAAGGGCTTATGATTTAATAACAACATCATGATTATCATTTATCTTTCTTCTATTGACCAAGTAATTTCTTCAACAGCAAGCTGCACAGAGTTCTTACTCGAGCAAGCAAAGGAGCTTGGCGCTGAGTCCCAAGTGGTTGAGTGTGTCCCTGGGAAGCCTATAGTATTGATGAAGTTGGTGGGAGAGGACCCATCCCTGCCATCAGTCCTACTCAACTCTCATACAGACGTTGTTCCTGTGTTTCCAGTAAGTCAGGACGTGTTTTGAAAAGTTTAAAGTTTTCTACAGGCCGAATCATTTATTCCTAGAAATGGATATATCAGTGTAAATGAGAGAAATCAAAAGGCTAAATGTTGAGAAGATGCTGTTGTGGAAGAAACCAATTTACTGAGTATAATTTTTTCTTGATTGTATAAGCTATGTTTTGTCCAAATTTACCTGAACCTTGCTGTAATCTTTGACAAGTGGTTAGTCATCTAAAGTCCAATATGATAAGTGCTTCTTGTTTCAGCAGAGGCTATCAACTATCCAGTATGATAAGATAGAGCCTAGAATGGTTCCTCATTTGGTAAATCAGTTTTCTTATCATTTGCCAAAGAGATTCATGAGGAACCCAAGAGTTTACTCATTATTACAGTACTTTTACACTTTAATCTTGTATTAAAAATCTACTAAGCAGCCTTTTCTGTTAGTTTTGTTGATTTTCAAATCAGATTCTTGTGGAAAAGAAGTCAAGCAAAATTATTAAGTTTTGCAATCAAGAATATTAATTATAATTTATAGTAGGAGTGAACATTTGCCTATTTTTATAGCATTTGATCATAATTTGAACCATATATGTTATATTTTCATAAATAAAGAACAGCATGACAGGTGCAATTTGCAGATTTAAACAGAGGAAAAAATATATAAAGTAGATAAAATCTAATTAAAAAAAAAAAAAAAAAAAATGAACATATGTATAGTATATTTAAAGTAAATTGTTTTTCCTTAATTTCAGGAACACTGGAAATATGAACCATTTAGTGCACATAAAGATGAAAATGGTGACATCTATGGACGAGGAACGCAAGACATGAAGTGTGTTGGAATTCAGTACATGGAAGCACTTAAGGAATTGAAGAAGAAAGGCCATAAGTTCCTTCGCACAATTCATCTTTCCTTTGTTCCAGGTCAGGTATCACCTTTGTTAACTGTATGATTGTCACTTATGCTTCTTTTTTGTTTCTTCATATCTATCTCAAAAGGTATTTCAATATACACACAAAATGCATATATATCATGTATATGTTTATATCATATATATGTATTAGCTCAGTATTTTTTGACATATACAAAGTCTGTGAGTCACTTTCTCAATTAGCCATGGAATATGTTGCAATTATATTTTATTTTAAAAGCAACAGTTATACTTATTGGATAATTGTAATATTGATCTTCTTTCATGACATTATTGCAGATGAAGAGATTGGAGGTAAGAATGGCATGTCTGAATTTATCAAGACTGACATATTCAAGAAGCTGAACGTTGGATTTGCCTTGGACGAAGGCTATGCCAACCCGACAGAGAAGTTTACAGTATTTTATGGAGAAAGAGCACCATGGTGTGAGTGTTGTTACAAAAATCATTTTTATGAATGAACTTTCATGGTATAATTTTTTTTTTTCAATATTATTATTGTTTTTGATGTGCATGTTTAATACTTTCAAACAAATATTTTATCTAGGGGTTTTCGTAAAGTGCCCAGGTCAGCCAGGTCATGGCTCACAGTTCTTGCCCAACACTGCTGGTGAGAAGCTGCGAAAGGTTATAAACTCTTTCCTCAAGTACCGCGATGAACAGGAACACAAACTGAAGGAAAATGAGGATATTCGGCTTGGTGATGTAACATCAGTAAACCTAACAATTTTGGAGGTAAGAACATCTTTGAAAAATTGGTAAGCTATATAGGTACTTGTGATCTTTGTATTTTCATGATCCTTAAACTGTTTTAAGAATACACTGAAACTCATGTTATATAATTTTATTTATGTTTATTTTTTATCTCCCTGAACAGGGTGGTGTGCAGTTCAATGTTGTGCCTGCAGAGCTATGCGTTGGCTTTGACATTCGTATCACACCAACACAAGACCTTGGAGAGTTTGAAGAGATGATCAAGGGCTGGTGCAAGACAGCTGGCAAAGATGTTGTATATGAGTTTAGGCAGAAGGTAATATCAGTATAAAACTGTGGTAATATGCAAGCTGATGATTAGGAAAATTGTGACTTGCGAAAATAAATACCTGTGGAGAGAGAGAGAGACAGAGACAGAGATGTGAGGGAGGGAGAGGGAAGGAGGCAGAGTAAAAGAGTGAGAGAGAGAGAGAGAAAGTATTATTAAAGAAGTAAAAGAGTCTAGGAAACAAGGAATGAGAGTGACTCAGAAAAAAAAGAATAACAACAGGAAAGAGAAAACAGAATTTTACAATTTATCCTAGCAACTAAAGAGAACTGTGACTGATTACCATGTAGCTTACTCTTCACTGCAGATTCTTTCCTTTTCAGGACATGTGTCAGAATATCACATGTGTGGAAGATGGCAAGTCTATTTGGTGGGATACATTCTCAGGAGCTTGCAAGAAAGAGTAAGTTATGAACCCTTCTTTTTTTTAGTATTATTTTGTAATAATTAATTTAGTAATCATATTCATTATGATCACTTTGTATGGCAGTATTGTTTTTATGGTGCTATTAATGATTATATATTTGTAATGCTGATATATTTTTTATTGTTATTGTTATAATGATGTCACATAGTAGCATAATTAAATTGCACATGCACACCTTTTTTTTTTCTTTTTTTTTTTTTGTGTGTGTGTGTGTTTGTGTGTGTGTTTGTGTGTGTGTGTGTGTGTGTGTGTGTGTGTGTGTGTGTGTGTGTGTGTGTGTGTGTGTGTGTGTGTGTGTGTGTGTGTGTGTGTGTGTGTGTGTGTGTGTGTGTGTGTAGATATATAGATATATATATACATGCATATACCATACATACATGACATACATATTCACTTTTCATGCACATGCTCATATACATGTATGCAAATGTACATAAATACATGTATCCATATGTGCGTGTGTGTGTGTATATGTATATGTGTGTGTGTGTGTATATGTATATGTGTGTGTGTGTGTGTGTGTGTGTGTACATATATGTGTGTAAATATATATGTTTATGTGTATATATATGTGTGTGTGTGTATATATATATGTATATATGTGTGTATATATATGTATATATGTGTGTGTATATATGTA